ATTTTTTGAATAATGATAATAAACATTCGTTGTTTAAACAAGCTTAAACTCACATCTCAGGGGGCTAATTCTCACATTCGTATACGTACGAATTTATATTCGATCGTACGATTTTTTTGCTTTTTGGATTCTCTTATTCGATAACGAATAAAACGTATCGAAATTTCTTATGATGGCATTCGATAACGAGCAATCGTTCGAATGACACCTTTCGATGTAAAGTTTTTGTGAACATGAATTTTATTAAATCTGGGAAAAATAATAAATGGAATACTTTTAGGTCAAAAGTGAATTATGCCAAAATAAATCTTTGGCAATTTAATGACAAATCACAAGAGGTTTATGCCAAATACTTCAAAAGGGAAACAACTCAATTTCGGCGGGTGTTGGCAGTTATAATTTTATTGCAGATGTATCTTAAAGAGATAAATATAGTCATTATATATTTGAGATCCAAGTTTAAAGGAATTTATTGGGCATATGTCTACAGCAGTGCCGCTAAGATTCGGTATTTTGAAAATCCCGGAATCCCGGGATATTTTGGGATTATATAAATTTAATTATTTTATATATGAAAATCTTTAAATCTTCATATTTGTAAAGAAAATTTATAGAAATTTAGCAGACATTCCAAATATTAAAAAATATTTGGAATTTTGCACAAAATACATATTAGTTTTAGGAATATAACATACATATTCGGCTATCTTAAATATCCTCCACTAACAAGCTACAAGCTCATATTTAACTATCTAATTTTTAGATAAGTTGACAAAATTTTGTTATATGGGAGTAGGCTTGCCAGATTTGAAATCAACAAAAAACGTACATCGTAGTTAAAAAAGCAGTACAATTGAATAAAAAAAGTACAATTGTTTATTTTCAAAAAAAATAAATTAAATTGTTCTAAAAACGCTATATTGAGATTGGTTGCTATGATTTTTCACAAAAAAAAACTTATATAAAACTAATTTATGACAATAAAATTAATCCAATTACAAATAATTTTTTTAATATTAGTGTGCTATTAATTTATATATTTTCTTTGAAAAGTATAAAATTCCCTAAATTTTAGTTTCGTTTGGTTCAAATATTTTCAAATATCAACCATTTGTTGTGAACATATGTTTGATATCTTTTTATGGAGAAAAAATGTCCAGTAAAATATAAAAATTCTCTATCTCTAACTGCACAGATAACCAGATAAGAAACCATTGACAGCTGTCAAAAAAGTAAATTCGAACCGTATGGTTTTGTTTACATTTTTTTTTTACCATTTTTGAGTTCCGCCATTAGGTAAAATTTTAGAGCAAAAGAAAAAATAAAATGTATTAAAAAATCGATGAGTGTGTGAGATGAGCTGTATGATTGTTTTCATCGCTTGTTTGAAAAAAAAATAGCAAAAAATGTAAACATCGAAGAAATTGTATGTGAAGAAGAATTGCAAAAAAATAAGATTAAAAAGAAAACTATTATTTTATTAAATATTTGCTTAGATTCTAATTGAAAGTGTATTGGATTTGTTTTTTAATTATTCCTTATTGTTCTTTCATTATAAAACACTTTTCAATACACTATCAACACCACAAACAAATTTTTTGACTTGCATGTACAGTAAAACCCGTTTATTTGATTTCAACGCATATTTTTTGAAGTTCGATATAAAAAAGGATAAATGTATAAAATATTATTCATGGGACTAAATAGTAATTCGTTTTAACCAAGAATTCTTTATAAAATATGTTTTTGTATTAAATAGTTATCAAAATTCCGGTAATTAAGATGAGTTCGTAAAGAGCAAGAAGAAGTTATAAATGGGTTTGACTGTAATGCAATTTGTTTTTTATATTTGAAAAAAATTAAGTGTAAGGTGAAGAGAGATGGAAATATATCTTTATATATTTGCCCCTCTTTTAAATCTCCCGTGGTTCATTTTACATTTTCTTTTGTTGATTTTTCGTAAAATTTTTTTGTTTGCCTCCGCCATATTGCTAAAATCAGCTGATTCCAGTCTATGAGTAGTCTATGTCTAACTGTTACAAAAACGTTACAACTTTTACTCTGTTATTCAAATTCGTCATTCTTCAAACTTCCTCAGATACCTAATTTTCGAAAAATTAGCTACCCTGCTACGAAAAATAAGAATGACAGTATAGTTTTTTAAAAATCGTTCCACAGCGGGACTGGATAAAGCTATCGAATAGGTACCTACACGACGGAGCATTATGGACCATTTTAACATTCAAACATGTCCTTCACATTTGCAGTCTTTTTTTATGCCGAAAATTCATTAAAAACTTTCATTACAGTGATATCTAAATCAAAATTTAACAACTTTAAAGCATTTTGAATAAACGCACTATTTTATGCATGACAAATGCATCGAAACCTCTTATAGTCGAATTTGCCTTTCTGAGCTTAGTAAATCCACTTTCAAACTATGTATCTCTGAAGTCCTTAATAGCTATGCAGTTAAAAGTACAATTACTAAAAAGAAGTACGCGTACTGCTGAAAACAGTACGTCTGGCAAGCCTATATGGGAGCTATGGCCAATTATGGTCCTATCCGTATATCGTAGAGTGATTCATATTTAAACAAAACATCTTTGTGTCGAATATTATCACGGTAGCATTATTTGACAATGAAATATGAGCTTGTAAGTGATTTTCGGAAGTGGGTCTTATATGGGAGCTATGATCAATAATGGACCGATCCGTAAAAAATTGGTGGAATGATTTGTTCACAATAGCTTTATTTATCAATGAAATATGTGCGTTTAGGTCAGAATTTTGTGTTGATACCAATATATTTGAGGGAGTTATTAACGATATACTAATTTCCGGGAATATATACCTTTGTATGAGGGCTATGGGAAATATTGGATCGATTGTAAAGATTTTGAACATAATTGATCATTGCCCTGAAAATAATGTGTGACAAAATTCATTGAAATATCTTTGGTAGTTTCTGAGAAACCTTCTTAAGAATTAGGAAAAAACGTAACAGTCTGAAATTTTTTCTCATAACTGATTTTGCTGATTTTCAATACCAAACTGCTTAGGATAATAATAAATATTTTGGGTGAATTTGGTTTATTTCCTTTAACGTGAGCGTGTTTTACACAGACAGACAGACGGACATAGCTAAATCGACTCAGAATTTCATAAGGTCCCAGAATATACATATCGTCACCTAAAACTCAAACGGACCTATCTAACATTTTTAAAATTTTGCAGGAGAAGCACAAAACTATTTAAATTGAAAAGTTCGTTTCTATCAGCGCGATTTATTTTTATAAAATAAACAAATTGTTTAATAGTGAAACCTATGATTTGTTATGATAGTTGACAATGGCGTACTCAAAAATGGATAAATTGGAACTTTTTACCTTTAATATTTAAATGTTTTTGTAGATAGGGCCTTTTGTTTTTTGTTAATACAATCGCTAATTTTGGTCGGAGGAGTCTAATTTCTTTTGTGGACATTTGTTTTAATGCAATACATTAGAATCAGCAATAAAATCGATTTTTGGTTAGTTAGGGCGCCTTTGTATTTCAGGTGACGATATATACTTTGTTGGGTCTTAGATGAATATTTCTTGGTGTTACGGAACGACAAACTTATATACTATACTCTCTATCACCACTGATGGTGGTAGAGGGAATAAAGGAATGGCAACAATTGGCAATTGTTTTAAATGTGGCATGCATGGTCATGTAGCAGCATAACAGGTATGGATATTTAAATTATAATAGTTTATGCGATGTTAAGAAGATTGTTACTGGTATGGATGGCGAAAGTTTTAACCCTGCCAACAATTTCTATTGAAATTGTGACCATTACGTAACAGCTTAAAGTTTAAAACAATCTAATTTGATATAATCTGAGTGAATGAAAAGTTACCCCGTTCGGAAGAAACTGTTCCGCCTGTTTAATACTTACTTGATGAGTCGATTTCGTTTCAGTTTCAAGTCACTTTTTTTAACATAAAAGTTCGCACTAAAATTTAACAAAATTATGATAAAAATTAGAAAGTAATGTATTTTGTTTAACTTAACAGAGCAAATAATCTACTAGATTGGGAAATATGGATGTTTGAGGTCCCTTTGAAAAACAATCCATCTCTGGCTCAAGATATTTTATAACGTTTATCGACGTTAAGTCTAGAAGAGTTTTTGTTTATTTTTTGGCAAAGGATCAGGCTTTTGGTAAATTTATTATATTTAAAGATGTGGCAGAACGACTAACTGGCCGAAAACTAAAGAAGGTTAGAAGTGACAATGGTAAATTTAATGCATTCCCAGATGCCAATGTCCAGCTCAGATCGACGTTTAAACAGGACTTTGGTAGAGATGGCCAGAAGTATGCTCATACATTCGAACATGAGCGAATTCCTACGGACTGGCAATTGAGACAGCCGTCTACATTCGTAATCGTTCACCGACTAGAGCTTTAGTAAGAGTAACGCCATATAAAGTTTAGAGCGGTAAAGTGCTATCAGTTAAGCATTTCATAACATTTGGTAGTCAAGAAGTGGCCCTTGACAGCAAGTTAAAAACTAAAAGTAAAGAATATCATACGGTAGACTATTCGTTAACATCAAAGGCGTATAGACTGTACAACCCAAGTAAACGTGACGTGGTCGAAAGAAGAGAAATGTAGTTTAATGAAGAAAACCATGCGAAAAATGAGTATGACAATGTTCCATATGATTTGATTGATCGAGAGGTAATGGAAAGCGGCAACCCTAATTTATGTTTCTCCCTTTTACTCGTATTATAACCGTTATAATTGTTTTTGTGTTTCTACTGGATTTCTCATTCCTTTTTGTTCAACTGATTTTTGTAGTTAAGTTCTTAATAAACCACTGAATAAGAAAGACGTTTTTGGTGTCCGTGTTTTATTTTGTAAATTTACTAAACTTAAGGAAAAGACTAATAACAACATAAACTCCATTGAAAGAAATAACTAATTTATTAAAAAAAAAAAAAAAACAAAATTATTTCATATAATTTATTTATGACGTGTCCATTGTTTGTAAGTGAGCTTTTATAAGAATACACTTGGTTAAATGACATTCACAAGGTACTGGATGTTCAACCTCATTGGGATCTAAAAGTTCAACTTCTAGATCGTATTTACGATTATTTTCACTATTACGTTTCATTGATATTTTAAATGATACTGGAGCATTTTCCTCCAAATCTTCACAAGCCGTTTCAGGCAGCACAACAACGCACTGCTTCCAATGGGTGGCTGGAGAATTAGGACTTGTAGATAAAATAATAGAATCTTCATAGGATTCTGCAGGAAATCTACAATCAAACCATATGCAAAAGCCTTGATGTTTGCCAGATTTCTTTACAGGAATAACTTCTTGAAAAACAATACTGTTCAGGTCTTCAAGAGTAACATCCATTAAATTCATCCAGTGCATTGCAACACCACTGTGGAGTAAATCCTTTGGAGAAATTAGTGCAATTTCAGGTTTAGTCGATTTTTGTTGTCTTAGCATAGTTCCAAACGCTGTCAAACGGACTCCATCAACTTCTTCCCAGTCATCAAAGAGACATGGCACTGCGCATGGAGCTACATAAATTGTAGATTCACTGGGAAACATTAAACCATCAGGTTTAAGAAAGTTGTCTCTTGCATATAATACGGAATCAAGCATACCCTCATGAAGTAAATAGAAACCCATCCATTCAGAAACAATAATATCAACTTTTACTGCTGATGATGGTAAAATAAATTCCTCAATCTTTGAATGTATTACCTGTAAAGAAAAAATAAATATATACATAGTAGTTAGTTAGTTAGTTAGTTTGAAAGGAGGATGTATATACATCAAATCCGAAGAAATACACCTAGGCCTCTATCGGGCCTGTTGTGCGCTCCTTAACCAGTGCCTCAGGTGGGAATCGAACCCACCACCTCCGGTCTACCAGTATAGAACACTAACCACTAACCTACCGGAGGCTACAAATATATACATACATATGTATTTCTTGACGAAAATTTTTTCAGCTTTTTTATTATTCCCTTTATATTCGTGAGAAGGGTCAATTCATTTGTAATTTCCACAATATAATTTTCGGACCCTATAAAGTATATCGAGGGACTATATTCAATAGTCTCTATCTAAAATAATACAAGTTTTGCGATATCTCGAAAACTATTAAACTGATTTTAAATATTTTGGCGGATTTTCAGCATGTCCAAATTAGTAAAAACACTTGTTTTGCAACAGAAAATTATCCAAAATAATAGAGTTTGAAGAATTTTTCTTTTTTTAAGATAGAGAAATTTAAAAACTGCTGTAAAATTGCCAAAAAATAATTTTTTTCTTTGAAATTTATGTCACTGAGGCGGGATAGTTTGCTGGATATTTTGCCATCAAAATCTTATTTTCATGAAAATGACAGAGACTATTGAATATAGTCCCTCGATATATATTCTGGGTCTTCTAATCTTCTATAATTCTGTCAGACATGCTTTCGAGAAGTTTCCTATTTTAAATCAACAAAATCCATAAATCCAAGCAAAGCTTGAGGTGATACAGGCTTCCGAACTGCCAGTACGGTCAATAGTGACCAGTGTTGCCATAACGGCATTTAAAGTGCAATTCTAGCGCTTTTTTTGTCAGCTGGACTTATTTTTTAGAAAAAAGTGCTAGATGCTTTTTAGCACTTTTTCGTCTTTTGCTAGAAATTTTTAGCATTAAAAGTGCATTTTTGTAATTTTTTCTTCTATTTTGCATCGTTTTGAGATGTTTTGTGAAATTTTAAGAAATTCTCACGAAAACTTTTTGCATATGTTTATTGTAATTTATAATTTAAATTATAAATTAAACTAAGAAGTGAATAGTTTTAAATATTTATGTATATTAAATAACTAATAACACTAGGTAACAACGATTTTGTTTAGGATATAAAATCTATATGGTTTTCTTTGTTTAGGACGTCTAAGTCCAGAAAAAGTATTTAAACAATCTAGGACGTCAAATTTTTAATTATTCATTAAGAATAAAATGCTAAAAAAGGCTTAAATCAAAAGAAAAAATTAATATTTACAGTTTTAGTTATTTTTTTATGGGTCTTATTCACAACACTTTAGCAAAGGTATTCTTATCGCAAAAATATTGAAAATTCAGTTGAAATAATCTTAAATCTCGGTGAATAGGTGTCAGGTTTAATACTCATACTTCCAAGAGTTTTTAGGAAACAATATAAATATTAATGTAACAAATTAATTATGAGGGTTATATTATTATATATGGTATAAATTGTCAATAATATTTTCGAAATTAGTTTTTTTTAATTTTTTAAAAAAATTTAACAAAAAAATTTCAGAAATTTTTGTAAGAGTAAAAAGAACTGGTATTATTGAATCTTTTTTTCTGAGTTGATTGTTAGGTTCCCAAAAGTAGCGCAAGCATACCAAAATCATTACTCATTTCCTCCAAATTTACCAGCACTCCTGAAGAATTATACAAAATTAAAACCACTTTGTCTCAAAATTTTGACGTATAGAAAAAAAAAATTAAATTGTTAATTAACCATCGGACTTCCCAGATATTTCGATTTTCGTTTATTTTGTCTCATTTTGCTTATCGAGTGAAACATATATTTTTTGGAAAGGGCTATGTACGAGTAGAACAAAAACCTTTTTTTGAAATTTCCCAAACACCTCCAAAATCTTGAGATACGGGTAAAAAACCGTAACTTCGTTGAATCTCAACCGATTTAAGGTTCTGAACGGATTTAGAAAGCAGAAGCTGAGGCCTTTATAATGGCATATATCATGTTTAAGTAACCTAGAAAAATATGTGTGCATTTCATTGGCAAACATGTTTTTGATTTTAGTTTTGCACCGTTTTTAAAGTTTGGAGATGTTTTTGCAAAGTATTTTATATAGGAACCGTACTATTTATTAATGTATTAGAATACTATGTGTGTTAATGAGAAAAGCGAAACTTTGTCGGCTGTATTTATAAAAACTTATTTTAGGTTTATTAAACAATTTTAGGCAAAATTCAGGAAAATCGTATTTATAAACGTGAAATAGCTTAAAACACCTTCAATAAACCATTGACAATTAGAAGAATTTTATTGTAGGCTCGACCCTTCTTTAAGCCAACAATAAGTTGATTTTTAACAATTTTTTTCTCAGATAAAGATTTTTCCGGTAATTTTAGGTTGATTGCGAAAACTAATTATGGTTTCTTTTAAAATAAAATCTAAAAATTCTAATTTTAACGTTTACAAATTTGTAAATAAAATCCCAGAAAATTTTTAAACGATTATATTTTGAGGAAAAAACTCAAATCTAGGCATTATTGGATTAATGCATGAATATTTGACAATATTCCAATTGTCCAGCACTATTTTTAGGCAATTTGGAAGTGCCCGTCTGTCAACCAAATGATGGACAAAATAATTTGATTTGGCTTTTTCAAAGTTTGTTGGTTAAATATAATGCCATAAAGTAATTAACCACGTAAATTATATTGATTAGTGTTATACTAATGCAAAATATATTCGCCGGCATTAAAATTAGTCAAATATCAAAGAAATTTATCAATATTTGCAAAAATTTATCAAAAATTACAAGGAAAATAAGTAAAAATAAGAAAATGTGTCATAGTGATGTATATTTTGTCGCAAAATATCCGTTATTCGGATACTTTTAATAATAATTAGAAATTATATGTTATATTTATACATCTGAACTAAATAGACATTTATTAAAGCCATATATATATTTATTTTTCTTAAAAGTTTGTTTTTATTGTCAAAAATCTATTATAAACAAAAATATGAAATTAAGAAAACCGAATCAACGAATATTTTATCCTAATTGTACGCAACACTAACACATAAAATGACAGCCATATTGTACAGTGCTGCCAACTTAAACATAAATCAGCACAATAGTTAATATACGTTTATTATTTGTTTATGAATATCACAATTTTATAATTGGTTTTTAAGGCTAAAGTGTGCTTTAACTATTGAGTGCATTAAAAGCAAAAAAAGATTTTTTTATAAATACAAGCGTGTTTCTTTAAATCAGTTAACAATTGACGACATTATTAATCTTTTTCTAAATACAAAATTTTCAAAAACTGATTTTCCGAAGTATGCTTTATATGGGGGATAGGGCTAAATGTGGGCCGAACCTCATAAAATTTGGTGGGAGGATTTATGTTTATATAAAAGTTATTTGAGCTGAATTTCATCGTGATATTGATATTAAAAGGATAATTATGGAATTCAAGTCATTTTCTGAAAGAGGGTTTGTATGGGGACTACGGTCAAATAAGTCCGTATTATTTAAAGAATTGGCAGTATCATCAAGGATTATAGCAATCTCATTTATGTCGATTTTTGTATTGATCGGACCTTGTTTGGCAATAGCCCCCATACAAATCCTCCTTCAAAAAATTACTTTAATTCCATAATTATTTTAATTATATTAATATCAGGATGTAATTCAGAATAAATAACTTGTATATTAACATGAATAGTTCCACCAAATTTAATGAGGATAGGAGTCTATTTAACCCTATCCCCCATATAAAGCATCCTTCAGAAAATAATTTTTTGAACAATTTTGTATTAAGAAAAATGTCAATAACGTCGTCAATTGCTAACGGATTTTTAAAATCAATGTTGCGTTTTACTCTTAAACAAAGTATAACAAGTAGTCCGACTCTCTCACATCTACGAGTGCCGTGTGAATTCGACTCTCTTGTGAGAAATTTAAACTTGTCAAAACGCTCAAAAGTTTAACTTACTTTTTCGGCCACTTTCAAGGATCGCACGCGAAATTTCAGTTATTCACAAAAAAACTGCAATTTTTTAAAATAGTTTTAACGCACTTTTGATTAAGAATTTTGTTTAATTTTCTTGAACTGGAAAAACATTTTTGTTTAATTATTGACATTTCATTTTTGTTGTTGTTGAATTTTATTTTACAAACAGAGTTTCAATTTTTGGTATAGAAAATTCAAACAAATTTAAAATTGTAATTTTTTTTATAAAACTCTGTGTGTTCAGAATGCACCAAGTCATATACATTTTTGTTACCAACACATATTTAGAGTTAGGTACTTTTTCACTAACACATGCTTAGAGTTAGGTACTGCTGTCAAATAGTCGGACTACTTGTTATACTTTGCTCTTAAATAAACATAGGCTTATAATTAATTAATAAATAGTACGGTTCCTATATAAAATACTTTCAAAAAACATCTCTAAACAAAGCTAAAATCAAAAACATGTTTGCCGATGAAATGCACCCACCGTTTTCTAGGTTGCTTAAAAATCATATATGTCACTATAAAACTTAAAATCGGTTGAGATTCAACTAAGTTACCCGGTTTTTTACCCGTATCTCAAGATTTTGGGGGTGTTTGGGAAATTTCAAAAACATATTCTTTTTCTACTCGGATCCATCATTCAGAAAAATAGTATCACTTTCTAGGTATTTATTTTTGTCGAATAGTGTTATCAACAAATACTTATCTTAGAATTTTTATTGCTTTATACCAATTTTGAAAGTACTTTTCAGTTTTATACATATTTATTTAGTTGATTTTTTACTAAATTTGAAACACTTTTTAAACTACTTTTCATTTTAATTGATGTTTAATTTTCTTCTTAAGTATATACACTTTATCCTTATTAAATTCTAAGAAATATTAAAAATATTAGTATAGCAATTAAAATCGACAAAAGCAATTTTAATAGTTACATAAATTTCCCTACATAA